AGAGCTTATATAGAACGTCATTGATCGAAGCCGGTTCGTTGGACGCTCTTTGTATCGATAGATGCTGTGCCCAAGGCTGTAGGAGATGATAACAAGACATACAGCTGCAATGATACTCCCAGCTTTAAAGCGCGAGTCTGTTGCGGATGGTTTCGCATTTGTCATTGTTAGATCATAACTGTGTTGCTTTTGAATAGTAATCCAGCTCCTGGGAATAACCATAAAGAAGTTGAGCCAAGCAAATAGATAAAAAATCAGCGGCAGATAGAATTCTTGTTTCTCCCTTGTAGAAGCGGTCAAGAATGCAAAGATATCACGATCACATATCTGCCGTTCCTGCCATGAACCCCTTTAGACAATATGGTTAGCGGGCAGTAAGTTCAAGATATGCGCCATAAGTGGAATCCTTCACACGTATGGATTTATTACGTACCAATGCCTGACTCCCTCCCATACAGCGGCAAGCAGTCCAGGAAGAAGTAGATAATAGAAGAAGCTCTGAAGACTTAGCGCAGTTCCCTGCAAATAAACACGATCGACATCGATGCTCATGAAACAGCTTATGATACCGCAAGCTGCAACGAAAAGCATCCAGTACCACTGCCATCTCCTTCCGATGGCCCTCCATCGTTTCTCGGACGGTAAGAACATCATTCCATGTTTCCTCAAATTGATCAATGTGAACACTATCGTCACCGCAAACATCGACGCGAAAGCGATCCCTACACTTCCCCTTTTCTCGAGGTCACCAATTGGGGAATAACAGGAGGTTGCATTGAGAAATGTTCCGTTTGACAGCATTCGAGGCTTGTAGATGTCGAATAAAAGCCAGCAGTTCGATCCGTTGGATAATGTTCCATTAGAATAGAGGGTATAGTTAAAATAGTTCAGAGCGGTTCTATTGAAATGAATATTATTGATAACTGTATCGGTCGCATTATCCCCGTTTTCTGTGAACTGCAACAGCTCCCTGACCTGGAAGAGAGTCATGGCTGATAGATATATGTATGCCAGCAGGGTTGGAATGCTTCTAAGTGAGGAGTCGGGAGTCGAATCAAGCAAGATGTACAGTCATCGCTGAGAGCTTGGAGGGCCGCCGAGATGGCAGTGGGAGTCCCAGGGTACCTGAGAGCAGAAGAGAGCAGAAATGCAATCGCGGTGTCGGAACTCTTCGTGATTGATGACAAGAAGATTGGTGAATTTTTCCTTTGGGATGAATCAGAATCTGTGAAATTGACGTTAGTGCCGCGGTGTTTGTCTTTGTCTTCTTCCGGATTCTGAGAACCTGCTACATCAGCCCCACTGTTAACTTAAGTTAGTTTAATATATTTCAACAATTGAACCACTCAACTGAACTGATCACTAAATTCACTGAAGACCAAATAACTGGATTTTAGTCAGGAATATCTTATACTTAACAACCACTCATTAAATTAAATGAAATTACACTAGGTTCAGGACATCCGATTCTAGTATGCTTAAGCATGTCACAATTATTGCATCTCTGCAAGCATTTATATGCATAGCCTTGACAGAGATGCAAAGTGTTGAATAATAGACTATTCAATGAGCTGAGCAGATAAAATCGCAGACTTTATAGTCTCATATCTAGTTAAATCTTTTCATGTTGAATTTAGCAACTAGATTTTATATATTTAAATTTTTTTTCCCATTTGTAGTAATTATATTTCATATTACTTTTTATAATAATGATAATAATTATTTTATACTTATAAATTTTAATAATTTAGTTAAATTTTTTATAAAATTTTAAAATAAAATTTAAAATAAAATTTAAATTTTTAATTTATAAAATTTTTAATTTTATTTATTTATTTATTTATATAATTAATAAAAATTTTTAAATATTTATATAAAATTTAATAATTAAAATTTTTTAAATTTATTAATTAAATAATAAATAAAGTTAAATATTTAACTATTAAAAAACTTAATCTAAATTAAAATATATTATATTAGTAGATCTAAAATTATTTAAATATTTTAAGATTTAAAAGTTTATATATATTATATTTTATTAAAATTATTAAAGTTATTATTATTTTTTATTTTTTATTTTAAATTTTTATAAATATAATATAAATAAATAAATTTAATATTTTATTTTTTATTATAATTATATATATATAATTAATAATAATATTATATTATTTATATTTAAATATATTATTAAAATATTATAGTTATTAAAAATTTAATATTTATTTTATTTATTATATAATTAATAATATATTAAATTAAAGTATATAATAAAAATAAATATTTTATAAATTATTTAATTTTTATTTATTAATAACTTTATTATTAAAATTTATATTAAATTATTAATTATTTAAAAGTTTATTAAAATATAATTTTTAAATATTTTAATTTTTAAAATAATTTATAAAAATAAAATTAACTTTAATATATTAATTATTTTAATAATAATAATTTTTTTTAATTATTAAAATTTTACTTAATTATAATATTTGATATTAATAATAATTATTATATTAAATTTTATTATTAATTTAATTTAATTAAAATTATAAATATTTTAATTAAAATTTTATATTAAAATTGTATTTTTAAATTTATTTTAATTATAATTATAATATTTAAAATTATAATATTAAAATTTTATATAATATTTAATTAAATTTATTAATTATTTAAATATATAAAAATTAAATTAATTATTATAATATTAAAAATAATTAATATTTTTAATAAATATTAATTAAAAATTTATTAAATTATTATAAAATATATTTTAATATTTCTATAAACTACAAAGCTTAATTCTCAGCAATAAGATCTTAAAACATTGATTTAAAAAGTTATATAATTAAAAATCACTTTATTTTCTATTTCTGAAAATTTTTCTTCATGTTATAATCATCTTGATCAGGCAGTTCACTATCCTTTGAAGTAAAAGTGCCATCAGAAGCATATTATTGCACAATTAGACTCTGATGACAGAAGTGATGAGGACGAGAATGTGAATATAGAGACCCTTTCACGGATTATAGCTTCAGAGGCTTTGTATTTGGTAATAAAACTTCACTTGTATGAGGATCAGCAGGATCAAGGGAGATCAGAGTCTAATTCAACAGCTTAATTACTATAAAAGAAGGTTAGGAGCACGGAAGCTTGAAAATCAGCAGTAGCAAGGATATTCAGGAGTACTTTGAATGATCAACCCCTATGTAGCGAATTCCTTTATATAACGAATTGAATCAAGCTTCCAAGGTAGTTAGTTGTTGGGCCGTCCTTAGCGCTTCCCCGCACGTGATTCCGCGTACCGCTTATAGACTATTTTCCTCCCAATACGAGGTCAACCATCCCACTGTTTATATATGATGAGGTACATCATTAGGGTATGCATTTGGCAACAAGGCCCATTTGCCAGGAATCTATACTGGACTAAGGACGTGAACAATTCCATAGAGGTCACCTAACCTAATAGTATCCACTTACAGCACCTAATCATAATAGTTTATATCTTCGGCCAGCGGGTTTTATACATAACGTTATCCTCTATGACGCCACAGGTCACTCTCAACGCCTGTGGTTTAATTTCATCAACGTCCAGGAAACAATGTGAAAATAGATAATGTTAACGTGTCAAGTTAATAGGACATAATGATGATGCAAAAAAGCCTAGTTCTAACTTACGGCCAATTTCACAGGCTCATTCATTATGATCATTGTCATCCGACGTGGAAATCATAGGTTCAAATGTCCTAGTCGCTTGATGAATTCATTGGAGAAGCAGGGAGGAGATTGAAGAGGAGATGTTGCGGGATGGGCTCAAATTACACCACTCATGAAGGAGAACATTGTCTCGGAATAGGAATGAACATATAACATTGGAGTAGGTTAACCGACGCAGGGTGTGTTGGGCAAGATCAGAAGTCTACAGTAGAGTTGCTTGAACAACTCCACATACATAGAGACTGAGCAAACCATAACTCGCTGGGAAATATGGTCATTTTGGAGAATGCAGAAGAGATGCATGACATCCACGGCTCAGTTGGTGGAAATGGAAAAACAAAAACCGAAAACAGCAGGAGACGGAAGTGTAGTTCATATCAAACTGCGAATGGAGGAGAATAGGGCACGGACTTGTTTGAAGGACGGAGAAAGTTGATAACGTTAGGAAAGAGATAATGGTGAAAATGCATCCAGGAGTATGTCACTCCCGTGGTTTTCGTGTCTCATGTCCTAGAAGATCAATCCGTGGAAGATAGAGATGGAAAAATGGGATATCCTCAAGCGGAGACAGACAAATGCAGGAAACATATCCATTCCATTGCTTCGCATTCTCTTTCATTAAAAGAGACAGTAAAAATATCACTACGCAAATTGAATCAGAAATTTCACTCACCACTTCCGGCTGCTACCGTAGACTTTTAGATCACTAAAGATGTGACCCTTTTAAGTCTTCATATCTCTACATTGCCTTGTCTTGCCACGGACAAGGGACAGTAGGAATCATGATAGGAGAGTCAATAAAATCAAGGAATAGAGAGGAGATTAGGTATCATAATCGAAAAGGGAGGGAAAGATAGGAGCACAATAAAAGAAAAATTTGGATATTAAGCCGCCTTGATGTAAATACCGGTAGGTTTTCTAAAACATCCGTGGTAGAAATAACAGGGAAAATGTTTCGCAAACGGCTAAGAAAACGAGAGGTACGGATACCTCACCACATCAACAGTGACAGTCGGACCTTGCTACCTTTACTCCTGATTTTCGACTGGTTGGAAACGCCACCGCATGCAGACATAATATGCAAAATCGCACCGCGAAACTCGAGATAAAAATGAAACGACGGGGGGCGGTTGTCGTTGAGGAAAGAGGCTGTGTAAATAAAATAGAAGTGAAAACAAACTCGTGGAGGGACATGTAAAGTTAGTAATCCAACACCGTGCCCTAAGTTCCTGACATCTTCCCGCTATTCGGTTTCGTCAGGCGAAAAGAGGAAACAGAAATCATGTAATCAAAAAATCCATCTCCATAGTCTCGATGATCTTCTCCCAATCCCAACTTTCTTCCGGCTTATCATCCATGATTTCCCAAACCTTCTCAACAACCGCAAACGCTGGTTTTATGTTGCGCAGGCTTGAATAAGCTTGAAGACTATCGAAACCCATCCTGATTCGCTCACGTTGTCTCAACTTGAAGGCTGAGCAGCCAAGTAGAAACAGTGGCATGAGCATGATAGAATTGGCGCCAGCATCTATGGGAAGTTGATCGAGGAACCGAAGCCCATCATCCACTACTTGAGATATCTTTTCGCTTGGGAAAGAGGGGCGCATGGTCCGGTAGAGGTATACCCATGTCGATTGCCGATAAAGCTGGGCCGCCGACCAGTTGGGGTTGTCCGGAGAATATATTGGTTCCCAAGCTCGAATCGATGCGTCGACTGATACAGCCTCACTCAGGGTCCGGTAGTCGACTGGCGGTTGCAGACCTTGCATAATCCGTTTCCGTATCCTGTCGCGAAGAACGGTGATTTCTGAAATATATTGGAACAACCCATCGAAGATTCCCAAGAGGGCGCCGGCTTGGGCATGGGGAACAAAGTCTGGGAGACGTAAGTCACCTGAAAGACAAATGGGTCGGCGATCCAGGGTAGTTAAAGAATTTGAAATGTCATGATATTGGAAGAACTCCATGATGAATTGTTTGAATGTTTCATTCTTTGGGGGATTAGTATTCAGGAAATATCGGGTTGCATCCATGTGGGATCTATACTCCCCTTTAGTCTCTCCTTCGCAAATAGTCTTAAGACACAAAGCTAGTGTTGATGCGATCATAGGATCCTCTAGAGGAAGTTCTGGGTCATCGACTGAGCCCGTTTGAGAAGCCACAGTTAGCCTTAAATCAGTGATGGCCCGGTGAAAATGGTATTCTTTACGTCGAATAAATTGAGGTTCTGGGTCCCTTGTCGACAGATGTGATCCGGAGAGGCACATTAGCGAATGCATGAGGCACCGATTCTGTGTAGCCATTGGTAACAAGATCTCCTTAAAGGGATTGGAGTCATCGTTGATGAGAGTAAGCACCCTGCTAAATTCGAATACAAAGTGGTCAAGGAACTTCCGGTCAACGTCAGTCTCTATACCGTCTATTAAGATCGGGAGGTCAGGGGGAATAGCGGCAATAGAATTCCTTCGAATAGCTATGTAGAGCGAAAGTTAGCAAGAGGAATTCTAAAAGATGCCAATCACCATCGTATTTTTAACTTTTTTTTATTTTATTTTATTTTTTTTTTAATTTTGTTTTGTTGCTGCTGGTGTTGGGTGGGATTTTAATTCCTAGTAAAGGGAAGTAGGTTTACCCTCTTCCATCTTCTGTTTTCCACTTTTCCATACTTCCTTCACTGGATAACCTTCACAGACGACCGCATTCTTTTGGCAATTTAAGCACGACGGCTTTGTTTCGTCGCATTTCTTCTTCCTCCTTCTGCACGTAACACATCCAGTTTTTGATCTTCCTTTCGCAATCTTTGTTTGGCCCGGGAATGGGGAGCGGATGTTTTCGTGGCCTCCCACGCTTCCTTGGAGCATTGGTGGCATTTTGTGGTGTTGCCACAGGGGAATCTGTTTGTTTGATCGAATCTTTGCTCAGCTCTTCGATTCTCTCCATCAATAAGGTTTCATTGTCGCCGATTTCCTCCACTTTTGGCGTCACCTCGTCCCCCGCCGTATCTGTACAAGGAGATGAAACCATTACGAAACTAAACGTCTTTGATGAATGCGAGGAAGAGGGTGTTTGTTCAATTTTATGTTGAGGGAATCCCTCACGGTTGATATCGCGAAGATCGACCTCATGTGTTGGACTGCGACTAGCTCGAGTCTCGTTGCGACGGTTCTGATTCGTACCATCTTCTCCATCCGCAATTTTCATTCGAGAGAAACGTTCACAAGGGGTGAGTGGAGTCTGTATCAAAAGCTGGGGGGAAGACAACGGAGAGGTAGCGGTTGTCAGCTGCTGGTCGCGGCAATCGGGGGTTATGGTGCCCGTTGTCGATGTAGCAGAGTTACATGGACGCTCACTGAACTCAAGGTCTAACGCAGGGAGGCGAGACGAGGGGCAGCGTTTTTTATCCATAACAACATCAAATTTCTAACGGGAGGAACCCCGAGGAACCAAGTCTTGTAAGGCACTGGGAAATAGGAAGAGGAAGACGACGGGACGTGGACGACAGCTTATAATTAATGGGCGTGGAGAGGCGCGATCGGATTATTAGGAAGCAATTTATGGCTTGGTATGCCCTTGTTAAGGGACACGGCGGACACAGCGGGGGTCTGTGGTTGGCAGACGAATAACCAAGCCTAATAACCCTTTCTGCTGGCAGGCTTTCCCTCTCTACAGAGTAACAAGGTAATTATTAATGGCTGACCCCTCCCCCTCCGCGGCTGGGTTGACGAATGTTTGTTCTGGTGTTCTCGCCTGAAGAAATCGAACAAGGAAGTCAGAATTGGTCTCCCAGGAGTCCTTTTATTCCCAGAGTGCTCGTGCTCTGCAGCCTCTGCTGGAAATCATGCGGCGTTCCGGCAAGATTGCCTGCCTCCTTAGAGCATCCGCAGGCGCAGTGTCCTGAGCTGCCAATGATCAAGCGCCGATTGCTTAGTGCAGGTATTTCGCTAGCAACTCATTACTCGCTAGCGGGTTTAGTGTGGCCTGCCCGATGATAGAGGCATAATCCTCCAGACAAGTCACATACGGGGAGAAGAAGCCTGAAGGGATGGGCTGGAGGGTGAGAGGTCTCCCGCCATTTGACAGTTCACAATATTTAGCCTGGTCGGATTTCAGATAACAGACATCTCGTCACTCAGCGTGCTTGATTTGACAATTTTGCACTTCCGCTGTGACGATGTCGTGCAAAAAGGAATGACTTCACTTTATCTCTAGATATGAGATGAACCATGGCCCATTTTCTCGGTTCGCTATGAAGTCGAATCGGTTGACGGGATGAAACTTAAAGGATACCACATAATCAGACCAACAGAGAAAACGCCTAGAAAGGGAATAAATCAACAGATGGAGCACATAATGACCGTTTGCCTTTGTCTATTCCACTAGGACATGGATTCGTCATTAAGAAATCAATGATAAACCGAATTACGAATGCGAAGAAGAGGAAACGTAACAACGGATTTATTTGCTGAACCAGAGGTCAAAAGACACCCCATCCACTCCTAATCGGATTTTTAAAAAAGAGGATTGGATAGCTGGTTCTGAACAACTAGATGTACACTGTACAAGTACACGGTAGGATCTATGGCTATGTGGTAAATCACTTCATTATTACCAGAGGAACCAGGACTAGTTCTTCACGTTTTTCCTTGCAAAGCGGTGTTAACTGTGGTCTAAAATTCTAGATGTTTCCCCTCTATTCATTGGCTAATGCTGTAGCTTAAGGGGTTTACAATACCTCCAGCTATTCAGTGGCCCCCAAACTCCTTTGGAATGGTCGAGAACAACCTACGTGTGACAAAATCCATTTCCATCTCGCTGGTAGCGTATGTCCAGTTACCTGTCAAGCCCTGCTCCACCAGCGGTAGAACAGTGACAAAATCCTCCACACATGGATATCTTCACCGTTCACAATGGTAAGAAGAGTCTTGTGAGATTCAGGGTACACAAAATTCCTTACCTCGTATGATTCTTTCTTGTGGACCCGACGACGCGAACCTGGCACGACCACGCATTTCTTCAATGTCTAAATCCAGGGGCATACGTAAACTAATTATCCAACCTGACCATCCTTACGCGCCCATGTCAACACGTCTCATCATTCATCCATGGTTGCCCTACATGGTTTTCTCCAATTCAACTCCCGGAGGCCGCATGTGAGAAATTAAGAGCACTTCAGCTAGTTTTTCACTGCTGATCTGTTTACCACGAAATACTGGTCCCATTGCATATCCCTCCCCATCCTCACGTCGTCCTCCGATTATGGCTTTGTTGTGCACAAAAAGCCGAGGCGGATATGTCTCCATCCCTTCATTCAGTGTTCTCCCATGGTCTAGAGAAGGAAACCTCCAAGTCTTTTAAGTTTTAAATATCTAGCGCGCTCATGTTACTGTATACGACAATAAGTTATCGAACTTTGCCTTCGGTATTAAGACCAACACAATTCCATTGTTCCTCGGAACCTTTGGTCATCATGTCACACAGTGGATCGAAGGCATGCAATAGAAACAGTGACCCAACTGCATTCCCAAAAGGGAACAATATTCTATACCACCATGCATTACACAGGACGACTATACGAAACTCACAATCCAAATTGATTCAAAAAATATACTGACTCTGTTGATAGCTAGTGGTTATACTAGAAGATGACATTTTGAATTTCATTCTCCCTTCGGACCGTTCAGCCAAGGCTGCAAATTCTGTTGTCTAGAAGATACCTACGAGCCAGACGCAGTGAGCGCCCTTGTCGTCTCCTTTCAATGCTGTCAAAATCACTATTTGGACCGGCTGCGCAGCGCTGGCCAATACATGACATTAATTTCCTGCATCAATTGGACTGATCGGTATGTTATCATTAAATGCCTAGGGAATTTGCCTGGAACAAGGCTGGCATGTAACGTTGCGCCGTCCGTTGCCTCCACGTCAAACTTTACGGAGTACATAAGGTAGAATCTTGCTGAGGATTTAAATTCCAAACCCAGAATTCCTCTCTATGCCTAATGGGAGCATGTTGGAGGATATAGTTACAAGACACAGAATTCTCAATGATCACAGACTCACTGAAACAAGATCATTGGCAGATTTGCAGCCACACATCCCTGCTACTGCCCGCCCCCATGTTGCTTCCCGTGCAGGTGTTCCATAATAATTCAGAATTCACCACCCGACTAAGGTGCATCTGCTCTTGACAAGAAGAAGGTTGAGGTTTGGGTTCCTGACAAACACAACAACCCTAAAGTCTCTTAAGATTAAGATTTATATGAATACACGTACGTGCACATAAATGCTCTCCGGACATAACCCACCAGTACGGTAAATGTCACACCCAAGGTACAAATACCAGACCCGGGAAATGCTTGTTGAACCAAGTGATCTCAGCAACAGCCAAAGTAAAGCCGTCGGGTGCCGAAGTTGCAACTTCGAATTAACGTGTTAGGAAATCCCAGGCATCCTGCAACAATTTCAGACCTTGTCTACTGCGTTCTTCGAATCTACTTGGTCAGCTGGAATGACTCGGTTGACTGTTTATTATTATTATTACTCTTTGCCCGTTGAGATATGAGGCTAGCGCAAGGTGCAGCTGTGAAGTTTCGTTTGATAACGCTGTCCCCAAACAGGCGAATTGTCAACGATAATGCTCTTTGCTTTTTCAAGACTTGCCGCTGCCCGAAGGGCCCGATTGGGCGTTTTGACCTTCTGCTAGCGGTTTGGTGGGGCGGATCATAGTCAGAGTGAGTGATCCATCGTGGAATTCAGATGGTTCGGCTGGCGAGCGGAGCAAGCCTCTCCCCGAGAACCTTATTTTCTGTCGTTTTGGCATCCCCGCTCTCCTGCTACTACTAACCACGGGGTATGTAAGTTATCCGTGATTCTAAAGGTTCATATTAAAAATTGTCTTAATACCCTGATAAATTCTTCTCATATGGTAGCAGTGGTGACCATGACACTGAGTGGTAACCTTGGAGTTCATCTATTTCTGCTATGATTTGTTCAGAGTATGTCGCCCACTCTATGAAATGAGATGTTCGCTTCCATCATCCTTATATTATTACATAGTAACACCCACTATTTTTGCATATAGCCTTCATAACTCGGAAAACTCTCATCTTACCAGTGTATTTCAACATGCAGATACAATTCAACCCGTGGCAAGGATGAATGGGGTACATATCATTAGCTACCAGGTACCGCAAGCCGCACCTTGTTTTCGATCGGGGTTTGGTAAACAGGAACCAGCCAGAGTGAGTTCAAAACTTGGAGCAATATTTTAGTAACTACGAATTAAACTCTGAAAACCGTCAAGTGGTCAGTCATCCTTCAAGATGAGATGGAACTTCAAAGAATGAGCTGGAGTTCGGGCCGTTTGTTAGAACTGAAACTCGCATTTGAGACGATGGCAGAGTGAAAATTCAGAACCTGGTCATTATTGCAACCTATTGGCAGACATATCGAACATGCCGCGTACGCACGGACATATCGAAGGCAGAAAAGCAAAAAGCCAGCAAATCGGTCTTTGCAGGCAGGGTGAATAAAAGGTTTGTTTGTTTTGAAATGTTCACAACCTTGTCTGGGCCTCCGCAGAACCAACGTCCATATGATCTGCTCGTTAGTTCTAAGGGTTGGCTCGGGTCATCAACTTTTAAACCAGGACCCTAGAGGCTTGAGGTTTGGACTTCTTCGATCTATACTTACAGCCGTAGAATTCAGTCATCGCAATTGGGATCCCCAGCAACTCGTGAGGTCCATTCGATAGTGCATCGTCATGAACAATAAGTAGTCAGTGCATACGACTTAAGAAAGGATGGACGAGGCCCTCGTACGTAGGATTATCTTCAAAAGGATCCAAAGATAAACACAAAGACCCCGACCTTTTTCACTTTCCTTTGTGTCTCCTAGCTCTGTTATTAACAATAGCGACTACCTTTCAAATCTCTTCATTCATGATAGAGACAGATAAGGGATAGAGTAGTAGGAAAGTGGCGGGTCCTAAACACGAGACACATCGCTCCCATTGTCGATTCGTTTCGTCATTAAGCGGAGCAGTGGCAGCTAGGCGGAAGGTAAAGGACAATTTGCGACTTTCTCATTGAACAATAATGGCGATATGTGATCAGAATGAACTAGTCGCCCTGAGCCTTTCTGTTGTAAAGTGAATGACTGATTCTGTTAACTCGATATCAGGACCATGGTCCAATGGATGGGGCACGAATGAAGACTAGTCGAAGACTGGGAATTTTCCCTCTCAGATTATTTAGGAAGGAAACAGGAAGCACCAAAGACGATCCGCAACCGTTCGGACCCTAGAGTTTGCTGCATAGCACCAGTCGTCATGCACAAGTAATGCTAATGCTCTTTAACAATCCTTTCGTCCTGATGAAAATGGTTCTCAGGCATGAATAAAAAGGGCTCATCTCTAACTCTTCTGAGAACAGCATGAATGATCCCGTCATAGGAATGAGGATCAATTGGACCCAAGTGGAATGCAAATTCGAGGTGGGTCTGCCCCTCATATTTTTTTTTTTTTAAACGGGGTCCTATTTGCTTGGGAGTCGTTAGGCACCCCTGATAATAGTATTGATCAAATCATTGAATCCTTTAGGGCCACTTATATTTGAATGCCCAAACCTGGTTTGCGCTTCAAAAGAACCTGGCTCCCACTTGGCATAACATTCGCCAATTCAGGACAGGTTCGCCTAACTTGTCTAGTTATCACCAGGCCGCAGAGAATGTAATGGATTACCCGGGGAAACTTGAATCTCAAATAGCAGAAATGCCGGATTCACCAGAGGGAGCTAGGAATGGCACTTCGCATCTTTCTTGAGGGAGAGGGATGGACTTTCCGCAAACACCTCTGGTAGGCTTTAATGCTGTCCATCTTTCTTTTTGATATTTGTTAACTAGTGAAGTTGATTTTCTCGATGGACGACGTCACTATGCCACAGCCCTCTCATGGATGACATAATAATAGCCATAAATGCGGACTGGAGTATTGCCATGAGAGAGTTGAGAGAAGTTGAGAATATATCAATTGAGATCCTCCTTTTCAGACTTGCTTCTCACAAATAACCAGTTCCAACAAAATGTTCCATCTTCTGCTAATCAGCAACAACTAAGCCCATTGCTGCACATCACTTCATGTGCAAGAACAAAATGGGGGAAATACATCACTGATGTTGCCAAGGACGTAGTAAAGACCTATTCTGTTAGCTACGTTTCATGCATTCAATGGCTTCATCCTGACTTAGAGATTTTTTTTTTCAGGTGAGGATTGGGATGTCGTCGGAAAAATTATTTTGCATTTGCCCGTTCGTTTTGTTGCCTTGACCGCTAACTATACATCCTTGAAGACTGTTGACCAATAATAACTACATCGTCGACCTCGTTTAAACGCTGCTCGACCTGCCCTTTCAAAAATCAGTCGCCCCACTAAATGCTGAAGTGGCGCGCCATGGTCAAGGTCAAATGCAAATGGCACGCAGCAAACCAGGGCACCAGGAGGAGACGGGGGAGCCGGCGGGTCGTGTGGGGGCAGCATGACCTTCCTGAATGAAGCCGGAGTTCCTTCCATAGGAGCTTAGTTGCTGTCGGTTATCACGGTCATAAATTAACAATGTCTTTTTCGCATCAGGCCTATCAAATTTCACCGTAAGTGCAACTACCGTACTACGGCCATACATGCCCTAGAATGTGGTTTCAGTTATGGACCCTGCGATTTAGCAAATTGGTATCGACAGCCTGAGGTCATCGAGGTTTCAAACCTCTAGTGATTCCATTGTCTTGTTCAGCATTGTGTTGTGCTGTTCATCGACATGGCATGGACATGTCCTTTCAACATTAATACTTTTCCTCCTCAATTAAGGATCAGGACAGACCGTTGGAAACTTTCCGGGGACTGATGTCGCTAAATACCCTAGACACCTGTTTGCCAGGGAAAGGGACTAATGAAAATATCTGACCATAAGTTTCTTCACGCAGTGCGATTCGATTAGAACATCACTTCCATTTCCTTGTCAGATTTCTCAAGTGGTATTAGATGCCTGCAACATCCATGGATTCGTGGAAACGACGACCTACAACAGCTAATTGACTATGTCATTGTACATATTAGCTACCTCCTCATTCTTCGAAAACTTTCGCAAACCTTCGGATAGGAGATTTTATTTCTCGACCAACGCCAAGGTTATGTAACAACAGCTATGGAAAAGCTATCATTTTATCTACTCTCTGAGAGCAGTCTCTTCCATTCTGAAATAAGCGTGGACTGTGACTTAAATCCCAAAGCGAGCTACTGCGAGAGTTCGTAATATGCCAGCCAGGATTGCACTGGATGTATCTGAAATAAGCAAAGCCTGGATAATCTTCCTATGGCTATTTCCATTTTTCAACGTCTCCATATAAAATGCCATTTCAAGTGTCCGAGCAAATGCACGGTGAAAGAGAAATCCCACTCTCTACATTTCCCTTTCTCCCGGTTTCACCCTTCAGTGCTGATCGGCTTCTACCATCCCTGCTGGAAGCAGAAGCATACCTTTGACTATTTCATTTCGGTTTCAGTTGTCGATGCCATCTCAGATCTTGACATGGTGATATCTTGCCAATTCAACTACAGGCGTGTCCTGATGCGTTGAATCCCTTTGAGATGTCTGGTAGAGACCAGGTCCCGGGAATCTTACCAGTGCATGCAGAAGTACGTCCTCCAGAGGATTTCGGTGTCAAATGAATAAGCTAGGGGGACAACTAATGTATCTATCGATTTAGAATTACTTATCTTCAGACATCTACTTGAAAGATAAATGTTGTTCATGCATAATTTCTAGCCCTGTTCATCATAAGATCGATATCACTACATCAACAGAAATCAAGAAGTTGTTCACTGCCAGGATACGATTCTTCCACGATTCTCCTTTCCAGAAATATGGACCAAAAATTGTTGATTTCAAAAATACTATTGAGCACTGGGGTGTTCTTCTGAGATTTAACTATTCTTTTGTTTTATTCCTGATACGTAGCTGATATTTAGCTAATGTTTCCTGATATGTAACCTTGTACTCTTCGTGCTTTTATCAGTATCTATTGTGAGTCTATCTACGTGTGGGATGTTATTTAGAACAACAACAAACAATTCTGTAGGTATGTTGTATTGAATATCCCTTTAACCTGTGTGGTCATGAGCGTCAATGAGGATTTCCCCTTAAGAAGTGGACAATATAGTTTGCCAATCCGGAGCCTTGTGCTAAATTGGACAACCCCCTTCCGTTGTTTCAATGATGGAATAATAAGTACTTTTGTAATATGGGTTTTTTAATGGTTAACTAACTAGTTCAAAAATTATTCATGTCGCAAGGTCACCCCAAAAAAGTAATTAACTTATCCTCGAAAGTTCATTTAGTGCATCCTAACGACGGAAATTGAGTGTAACAGAGGGACAACCTTTGCCTCCTATATTCCTTGATCTTCAATTCCATGAGATTGAGGAATATTTTCAAGGAGACTGACTGTTCGAAGTCAGGAGTTTTCAAGGTTGTTCGGGTTCGTGCGAACCTATCTATGCATGGACGTCATGCACGCTAAAATATGATAGGCTCGCTAAATGAAGGGTGGTGTGGTGGTTGTGGTGGTGGTTCTAGACAACCTTTCCCCTTCCTTCTCGACGACAGATTAACCATCTTTCATCTTTTGACCAAAAATTGTGTCCAGAGCCACATATAGCCATCGACTTGTTCAGATACGAATATCAATCTTTCCAACTGCCAGGTAATCCCAGAGTGATCCTGATTGTTTGTAATTTGTGGTTTATATCATTAGCATTCATTATGTGGCTGTGCCATCAACAATTTGCTCATGCTTGCAAGGAATTCCCAAGGAACATTTCGCAAGCTGCGTGATTAAATACTTCACTAAAATGCATTCCATGCACTGCCTTCTTTCTTCTCGCAAATCTCATGCATGTGAGACAGTTGCATTTTGACGGCTTTTCCTCTCTTGATGTTTAGAAGTGCGCGAACTGGGGGGTTCTCTTCCTCTGATTTCTCTAATTGCTGGCTCCGCAAAATTCCTATCTTCTGCAGTTAGATCAACATGATTTCGCCATTACATTTTATGTAATTACTACAAATTGTTAATTACTTATTTGGTTTTGTCATTTTTTTTATTAGAAATGACAGGCTGTATAAGCAGTCGCAAATGAGCAAAAAATTGGGCTTGTCCAAGCCTTCTTACAGTCTATGCCTGGACTTGACGCTGGCAGGATTGAAGCATCCGAATCATCTAGATAATGATGTCTTGCAGCTTGTCCATCAGTTCTTCCGCATTGTGCCTCTGGGGAGGAAGAACAATTCTCTAGCAAACTTGAGTCTCTTGGTTTTGCATGTAAATGCCAAGTAGACTTTGTCTTCCATCGTGTCCAGGGGCTGGTGGAGGCCCTCAGGTTCCTGATTCTGAACTTTAGAAGGTAATGCCCGGTCAAAACGTGGGCAGAACAGATCAATCTGATGATCAGTTTCAAAGAGCGTCTGTGGATGTGTAGCAACAGCTTCTATCTGCACTGTTTCTGCCGCCATGCTGGCCGGGAAGACGCAAGAGAGAACCGCGCAATAAACAAAGGAGGTCACATGGGGTCACCGCCTAAAGGTTGCTATACACAACCCACAAACACACGACCATACACGACATCGCCGGCACACTCCTTTGTTTTGACATCTCGCTCTCAACCCTGTCATCACCTTCTCAATAGCGTTCACATCTTCTCTTCTCTTCAAGACCCGATCCTAGACTCTTGACACAAACTCCTTTGGCGAGTTGATCTGTTTCGAACTCTTCCTGTCATCTCCCTGATACTCTCAGGGTTTCCTTCCTTTTCCCTTCTACATCACGCGCCCTTTGGCAATCCGCTGTCATTATGCATGTCCATGCTGCTATGTGGGCGGGATTTATTGCCCTAACCGCTGGAGTTCGTTTGCCACGAAGGTAGATTGATGTTTTCTGTGATTCCTGTTGAGTCTTATCTCATCCTCGTCCCGTTGGTTTTCATTCACGTTCCCATGCTGCATTCACATCCCCTATGCGCTCTACCATGAGTGCTCAGTGAAGGGAGCGTGCCCTTCTTTCATTTGACGATTTGAGTGATAAATGCCCTATGGAGTCCTAAACCATAACCCCTTTAATGGAATGCCATTGGTGATTCTACGTTATTTGTTTGATTTGGCTAGTCTTTGGTGCTTCCCTGAACCCACATTTTCAACTGATATGAAAAATTCTTTAGCTGGAATGGTACAAACGCGGAGGTTGTAACTATTACAATGACGTCTTATGTTCTCCCTGAGTCTTGCACGTCTTCCAAGAAACAGACTTTAACCACGACAATCACGGAAACTGTCTATGTCACCATCACTCAGTATTTTTCTTCTGCCCTATCCACAGCAAGCCCTGACTCTGAAGGCAATTCTGTCTGTGAGGCGCCAACTCCTGAATCAAAGAATATCAAGCATGCTACTACTACTGAGGCAACTATAACGGCAACAGTTTACCCAATCCCAGTTTCTGAGTACACGACTATTGTCACATCCTTTTTAACTAAGGTAATTACCTTGACTTTAATTGATGCCCCAGTGTCAAGCTATTTGGCAAACGAACCGATATCACAGTCCATTACCCCTGTGACTCATCGCAGCACTGAGGCGTCTCAGATATTAATCACTCAGCCTTCTCCATCCGCTAGCACTACGTCTTCTACTCCCGTCTCTTCAACCAATTCATCCACTCATCTTACCTTCCCCACTCCATCCCCATCCACTAAAATTGCACCTACTACTTCAGCGATTCCAACCACACTCTCAGCTGTTCCTTCTAGGGCATATGGCTCAAGCGGATGGAACTCCACAATCCCGACCAGCACGATGGCCCAAGGAACAGGGATACTGATTGTTTCAGGAGTTCCAATCCCTAAGCCTCCATTTCTGTCCCAGCCAGCAAATGAACCCATCAGCAAACGACAAGTTGGAGCTATGGTTACCGCAACCATTAACGACCGGGTTGTCTCGTGGTTCAACGTATGGAAGGGCTCTCCATTGTCATCCCCAGCTCCAAGCCCGACATCAGTTGTTGAGAGCACCAAGACGATAACTACACCTTCATCAGTTCCGACAAAGTGTGGAGAATTGGGTGAATTTACCATGGATGTAAGTGCAGTCGCATTCCGTCATTCATCATTTGAAACACTACTAATTTCTAACCACATCCAGTTTGACGACCTGCCGAGGTTTTCCCCAGCTGATAATAACACTGCTCCATTTCCTCCAATCTTCAACCCGTATTACCATCTTTTCTTTTCTGACGGATGGGCTTATGGTCCCCCTCCAACTGAACCATATCCTCCTATTTCCAACCCTCACATAGGAATCTACGTTCCTTCGGCAGGCGAGGACAACCACGGCTCCCCATATGCAGGGCTGCTAGCTGGAGGTCAATTTGGCGCAGGTCCCCGTAGTAGCATTAACACATTCTGGTTTGACGCTTACTCCGCCTATTTTGGCTGCGACAATGGCTCTACGAATAACTCTTGCGCAGTCACGGTGTCAGCAGTTAGATACTCAACGGTGACCCGAACAGAAGAGGATGCTGGAACCCGCACATTCACCCTCCCACCATGCCCTGACTACGAAAACTGTGCCCTTTCTCCATTGGACTTTGGTGATAGTTTTAGTGGCATCAGCGGTCTCCAGTTTTCAGCATTCGTTGGAGATAAGCCTGTCATCTGGTTTATTGACAACATCAAAATGAACTGGTATAACAATTCTTGTACTGCTGGTTTAGAGCGCTTGCGATCACGTTGATGGATCTCTGATATCCCTACGGAATCAAAGAGCGAAGCGAAGGTCAAGTGACCACTTGTCCAATTATTTTCGAGAAAATTATTTGTTTTTATTAAGTGCTTGATGTAGATCTTATGGTTCATATATTTTAGATGGAAGGCTCGTTTTGTTACTGCTTTCAAATACCCCTGTCAACTGGTAAATCGGGATCAGAAACTGAAGTGGAAAATTATGTATTGTACAACTGCTGTTAGTTGATGCCTGATGTTTCAATGACTTTGAGCGTTTTCGACAACGCCATTGATAGCTATGGAAAAATGGTTCTTAGTTAGCTATTCATATCCTGCAAATAGCCAGCACAGCTTTCAACATATTATTAATAAGGGGTATCTCATCTCCAGTGCACAAAACATGTAAACTACAGATACTTGAGCCTTGAAATTTTTGTTGCCTAAATCGAACTTTCACATCAGTGTTCGGATGACAACGTAATCCAGCGGACCACCGGAGCGAGAAGCCAAAATCAAATAACAACCCTTATATCTTTTCTAATTAATCAACTGCAATGCGTGAGAAAATTTTAATTGTTACTATAAAATTTTTAATTAAATTCAGTTATAAATATTGTCAATTTGTTTTTTTAAAAAAAAATATATATATAAATAAAATAAATAAATTTTTTATTCATTAATTTTAACATAATAACCTTAGATAAAAGTCAAAAAAATTAAAATATTAAATAATTTCATACTTATTAAAAAATATCTTAATATTTACAAAGATTTTATCAAGCTTTATAAAAAAAATTGACGTTTTAATATACTTTATTGATGAAGAAGATTATCTGTACTTTTATAAAATATTAAAAATCTAATTTAAAACATTTTAAAATAAAAATTATATAATGTAATTTTATACTGAGAAAGTCTTTACATTGAGCAGATCATCAAAATCAGTATATTTCAACTAAATAGATTTAAATTCAAATATTTATACATTATAACACTCAATTAAATTAAATTAAATTAAATGTAATTGAGAATATCTTAATTTTGTATATCTGAGAGTATTGCAATTGCTATAATATAGTAGAGCTTGTAGGTATGATATAGACTTGAAGATAGTAACTTGTAGAGTTAAATAACTTTTTGATCAACAGATGCAGTAGAGGAAATAATAAAATTTTAAGCTTTGTTTCTAGTTAAAACCTTTGTATGTTGAATTTAAAGTCTAAATCTATTTCACTTTTACTTTTTTATTTTATTTATATTGAATATATTCTGATATTACTTTCTTATAATAGTGATGCTGATTATATTATATTCACAAGTTTTGATAATTTAATCAATATCTTCTATTAAATTTTAAAGCTGCTGACTTTTCTTTATAAGATTTTTAATTTTACTCATCTACTTCTGCAATTGGCGTAGATTACTAGATGTTTGAAGTATTTAAAATGATAAACTAAATCTGCTAGATGATAACATAAAGATATGAAGTTAAATATCTAGTTGTTGAATAACATAATTAGACTAGAATTATACTATTCTAGTAGTTCTGAAGTTACTTTAAATAGTTTGAGCTTTGAATATTTCTATATATGCTATTGAATAGATATTTAAAAAGTTAAACTTTCTAATGATATTTATTTTAATCTACATTTACTATTAAACTAGACTTCTATATACTTGCTTTAGAACTGCAAAAATACTCACATCTATTGATTGTATAAAATATAATAAATAAGATGATATATAGAATATAATAATTTTAATATTCTTGTAGATTTGATCAAATTCTGAAGTAAGATAACTATCATATCTATATAAATATATATATATATATATATATAAATCAATTTAATATAGATTTGTTTCTAGAATAAATATTTATATAAATTATTTAAGATATATTTTATTTATAGTCTAGTCATTAAAACTGATATCAAGTCTTCAATCTGCAGAAAGATCTTTAAAAATAATATATGACAATAGAGCTCATTCTGGCATATTGACTGAATCAATCACAGTAACTCATTCTCAATTTCCAGTTGATAGCAGCTTAGTATAAGAGGTTGAACCCCTAGATTTACTCTGGCTGGCTGACTCAGCCTAGCCATTGTTTGCACGTGCGCACGTGATCATGCTATGCAAGCTTGCTTAAGCTTGAGTTCTCATCTCATTCTTTTCTTCCCTTTCTCAAGCAATTCGTCCTTGTTATATAGGAGGACTAGCCTCTAGTTCTTAGAGCTTAACCCTTTACATTATGAATTGCTTCACTCCTTTCATTGATAGGCCACTGGGAGTCTTAATCCTGTATCACAAAGCTCAGCAAATGTGCTGACATATGATAGGCTATTGGGAGCCTTAAATCCTGCATCATGAAGTTCAGTGATAGCACTGATATATGAATAGACTGGGTTAGCAATCATGCTAACAAACAAATGAGCAACATTGAAAATGTCTAGCTGAATGAGATAAAGTGACAGACTTGTACAACAAATACATAAATGAATCAACACAAAGCAATGAGCAGGGATGCCCTCAGCAGCTTTGAACAACAATGAATGATCTTTCTCCAACAGCAGGAACAGGTCCAGTGTGAGAACAGGAATTTAATAGCAGCTCAGCAAGCTGAAATAGCTAATCTACAACAAGCTTTGAACACTCTGACATCAATTCTCTCTCAATTGAATCTGCAATCACTCATTGCAGTCAGAAGACCAAAGATCAAGCTACTGAACTGTGAGAAGTATGATGGTTCTAATCTGAAGCACTACCCTCAGTGAGAGCTAAAGCTTCAATCAAAACTTAAGATTGATGGAAAAGCTTTAGATAATAATGAGGAATGTGCTTGATATGTGTACTCAAGACTAAAAGAAATGGCAGCAGCTCAAGTTTATCTCTGAGTTGAGAATAATAAGGACAAGATTAACTTCATGATAGAGAGCTTACTGAAGCAGACACACATGCTCTTTAGTGATTCTGCATGACAGAAAAAGGCTATGCAAAAGCTCAACAATCTATGACAGAGTAGAAGAGCTCTCTTTGACTTTCTGTCTGAATTTAATCAGCTACTGCTGGAAGCTGATGATCACAGATGAGATGATCACATTAAAAAGAGATATTTGAAATTCACTCTAAGCATGAAGCTGAGGAAAGGCATGATGAGTGTAAGAGAACCATCTCTCTACAAGAATTACTGCAAGGAGCTTAGATTAGTTGATCATCAACTCTCTGAGCTTAAGACTTTAAAACAGTGGTCTAAACATTATGAGGGCAGATCTTCTTCAGATCATACAACATCTAATTCACACTCTCTACTTCATCATGCTGTTCTTGACTAATGAAACTGGTCTCAAGCTTCTGCTGATGATCTGATGAATCTCTCTCCTGATACTGTGACCCCAAGTGCCCACCACATCAAATTGATAAATCAGACAGAGGTTAATCAATGAAGAGAGCAAGGCCTGTGCCTGAGATGCAGAGCTGGAGGTCATATGATTAAGAGCTATCTGTTCAAATCTCTTAAATGCTCTGTCACCTCTATGATAGCTAAGGTAATCTCTGAGCTGGTACTGAACAATGATGATGTGAATATGGGTGGGGATTTGAGAAAAGAGTAGCTCCAACTAAAAGATACTGAAAGAAGCAAAATAAGAAGCTTATGAGAAAGCAATAGAGAAGATTTAAATCTAAGATGATATTCAAACCTTTCACTGTCAATGCTCTAGTAGATAATGTCTTTTTGACTAGAGCAATGATAGACAGTGAATGTAATGTCTATGATCTTATTTCTCAATCCTACATTAACAAGCAGAAGCTCTCATGCATTGAAATTCCCTCTGTTAAAATGACTGGCTTTGAAGACTCTATGAGACTCTCTATGAGCATAGTAACTGGCATTCAAATTGATATAGGTGGTCATGTAACTGAACAGGTCTTTCTCTACATGGTGAATGAGTTACATAGTCATGATATGTATCTAGATGACCCCTGGCTGGCCCAGCAAAAGGTGACTGTGATCCTTCATCAAAGAATTATGAGATTTGAAGAGAGTGGCATAGAGATAGAGTCTAGTTCAAATGCAAAAGCTGATGTGATTTCCATCTCTGCTGTAAGCTTCTCTAGGCTTGTGAGCACTTGAGAGAAGTGAAACATCAAGATCTTCACTGTCAGTTTGGCTGACATTCAAAAGACTCTAGAAGTGAAATCAAAGATTGACCCTAGAGAAAAGCTGCTTGAACATTATCATGAGTTTTTGAATATATTTGATAAGGAATCCACTGACACTCTACCCCCACTTCATGGCCCAGGTAGAGATCATGGGATTGAACTGATTAAAAAGGCTGATGGTAGCATGGAACAACTCCCTTAAGGCCTATTATATAATATATCTTAAGAGAAACTACTGGTTTTGCAAAAGACTCTTATAGATTATCTAGATAAGAATTTTATTAGAGTGAGCAACTCCCCTGCAGCCACCCTTATACTATTTGTAAAGAAGTCTGAGAGTGGACTAAGATTCTGTGTGGACTATCAAGCTCTTAACAAAATCATCTGAAAGGATCAATATTCTCTATCATTAATCAGTAAGACTCTACAGTGAATTGAACAGATTAAATGATTCACTAAGCTGGACATTATTGCAGCTTTTCACAAGATTCAAATCATGGAAGGTGATGAGTGAATGACAGTCTTTAGAATCAGATACAGGCTATTTGAGTGGCTGATTACACCCTTTGATTTGGCCAATGCTCTGTGCACATTTCAAAAATATATCAACTGGGCATTACATAGATATCTGGATGACTTCTGCTCAGCTTATTTAGATGACATCTTGATATTTTCCTCAAGAAGCTTATAGGAGCATTATGAGCATGTACAAAAGATGTTTATGCATCTATAGAAAGCAGGCCTACAGGCAGACATCAGAAAGAGTGAGTTTGAGATGAACAGCACAAAATATCTTGAATTCATCATTGAAGCAGGCAAGGGTATATGAATAGATTCAGAGAAGGT